TTCCTGCTGCTTCCCCAGTTAGATTGAGGTCGGTCTTTCCAGGCGACGCGGGTCCCTGCCGTTTGGTTCCGGTGGTTTCTGTCAGGTTTATGCAGTGGAAAGTGGCTGTTTTTCCTTTGGAATTGAGGGAGCTCACGGGGTACAAGTATCTCCTAAAAGTTGTGCTCACTGGCTTTAGCTTCCATTGGCGGATCCTTCCTGGAAAAATAATTCCTGTGCTGCCTGTTTAGTGACGACTTTGCCTTTTTCTTCCCCTTTTTAAGGTCGGTGTTCCTGGGAGGGGAAGCTGCCCTTCTCCACTCACTCAGGTCCAGCGCTGTGAACTCACGGCCGCATTTTCCTCGGGGCTGAGAGTACAGTGCTGTCGCCATTTCCTTGCCTGTTTTGTTTCTGCGTTTGAAGCTGGTCCCTGGCGTGAGGTGTCTGTCGGTGTCACGCTGATACTGGGAGCTCCTACCCCTTATTTCTGCCGTGAGAAATCCAGCTCGCGGCCTCTAAGGTATTTACTTCCTCATTCACCCTGCCTTCCGCGGGAAGTCACCCCGGAGTGGTTAGACCAGTGCCCTGGGGGCGACATGCAGTGGCGGGGCAGAGGCTTGCCAGCAGTTCTTTCTGACTGAGCCTTGCGGTGCACGTTCAAATGTCATTTTCCAGGCTCCTTAGATCGGGACTCTTCCGCTTGGTCTGTCTCGGTGTGGCTCCCTTAGCATCTGCAGCCGAGCCTCCAGGGCGTGGGTGCGCCTCCCGGTCCCCTGCAGGGCTCTGCATGGACCTCCAGGGCGTGGGGTGCGCCTCCCGGTCCCCTGCAGGGCTCCGCATGGACCTCCGTCTTGACCCTTGTCACAGTTAAGCTCTAACCTTCCTGGTTATCGTCCACCGCCCCCTCTGGCCTCTTCAGCAGCCTCCCTTTGCTGTCTCCCAGCTTTCTCCGTCTGCCCCAGCTCACACCAAGCTGCTGCTGGCTGAGGGGGGGGCGGGGACTGGCGATTTTTTTCCTCTTAGAATTTCCTGGAGAACCTACTTTCTACTTCTTATTGTTTTTCTCATTTGCGGAAGGTCATTTTGGGGAATGAGCAACTGATCTCCTCAGCTACTTTCAAGTCCTGATATTTTTTTTTAAGATTTATTTATTTATTTATTTGAAAGGCAGAGTTACAGAGAAGACGAGGCAGAGACAGAGAGAGACAGAGAAAGAGAGAGAGGTCTTCCATCCGCAGGTTCACTCCCCAGATGGCCGCAATGGCCAGAGCTGGGCCAATCCAAAGCCAGGAGCCAAGAGCCTCTTCTGGGTCTCCCATGTGGGTGCAGGGCCCAAGGACTTGGGCATCTTCCACTGCTCTCCCAGGCCACAGCAGAGAGCTGGATGGGAAGTGGAGCAGCCGGGACTTGAACTGGCGCCCACATGGGATGCTGGCACTGCAGGTGTTGGCTTTACCGGCTATGCCACAGCGCCAGCCCCTTATTTTGGTTTAAGAGCAGTACTCTCTTGGAGGAGTTCGGAAATGGTTGTGTGATGAAGCTGAGGGCCCCGGAACGTGGCTGTTTGGTTCCAGTCCACCTAAGAGCTGACTTCTGAGCTGCTCCCGCCGAGTTGTCACTGCTCGGAAAGCTGTCGTGCTCGGAATCACTGATGGTCATCAGCAGCGACTCAGCTGCAGCCCCTGAGAGTCCTGGCTTTACAGGACAACAGCACAGCCCCCCATCCGCACGCTCCGCCTTTGCTACGGAATGCTTGATGCTCTTCCCTTCCCTGCCGGAAGAAGGCCCTGGCTTCCTGGTGAGGTGTCTTCCGTGGGAACCTTGTCGCCCGCTCTGTGTTCTGTGCAAACCGCGTCTGCTCTGGCTGCTGGCAAGGCTTCGGTGCTGCTGACCGCAGCCGAGTGCCGGCTCCTTCGTCATCGTCACCCTCGAGGTCGTGGTGTGTAGATGCCGCGGACGGCGGCTCTGCACGGATCCCACCCCTTCCTGCTGGACTCCACCTGCGCCATGCGAGGCCCCTGGACGCTGTCTCGGTCTCCGGTGCCTGTCCCGGGTGCAGTAGCTACTTGGAAAACATTTGCTCCTGTAATTCTTTAATTCGACACTACTGAAATTCACAGTAGACGCAAGACAGCCGCAGCTTCTGGCCCCGATGAAGTGATAGGGACTGGATCTACCTTCCTTTTTTAAGGCAACACCAGGGTAGACTTTAGGCTTTTTCCAAACTGCTTGGGGCCTGCGCTGTGGCGTAGCAGGTAAAGCCGCCGCCTGCAGTGCCACCATCCCATGTGGGCGCTGGTTCGAGTCCTGGCTGCTCCACTTCCAATCCAGCTCTCTGCTGTGGCCTGGGAAAGCCATAGAAGATGGCCCGAGTCCTTGGGCCCCTGCACCCGCGTGGGAGACCTGGAAGAAGCCCCTGGCTCCTGGCTTTGGATTGGCACAGTTCCGGCCGTTACGATCAACTGGGGAGTGAACCTGCAGAAGGAAGAATCTCTCTCTCTCTCTCTCTCTCTCTCTCTCTCTCTCTCTCTCTCTCTGTCTCTCTGCCTCTCCTTCTCTCTGTAAATCTTTCAAGTAAATAAGTAAACCTTTAAAAAAAAAACCTACTAGGTCAGTCTCCTTCTGATTATTCTGATGTCATGTTTCTGCTGTGGGCTGTGGGGACTGGGACCCTCCCCTGCTTGGGTAGTGTCCTTGTGCTGGGACTGGGGACCCCCAGTTCTTCTCCAACACCTCTCTCCTGCGCTCGGCTTGCCGCCCTGCTCCCCAGCCTGGGTCCCCCCACCCCCTCCCCCAGTGCAGACGGCAAGAAGTTGAGCAGTCCGAGGACTCGCCTGCCCGCACCCCTGCCCTCCAGTACCACAGCTGTAACTTCATTCATTTCGTCCAGTTTACTTTGGGCAGGAAGGTAGATCCAGTCCCTATCACTTCATCGGGGCTAGAAGCCGCGGCTGTCTTGCGTCTACTGTGAATTTCAGTAGTGTCGACCTATCTACTGTGTGTAGCCACCACGTGTACGGTGAGCACTGTGTGTGTGTAGCCACCATGTGCACAGTCAGCACCGTGTGTGTGTAGGCACCACGTGCCCAGTGAGCACTGTGTGTGTGTAGCCACCATGTGCACAGTCAGCACCGTGTGTGTAGCCACCACGTGCACAGTCAGCACCGTGTGTGTGTAGCCACCATGTGCACAGTCAGCACTGTGTGTGTGTAGCCACCACGTGCACAGTCAGCACTGTGTGTAGCCACCATGTGCACAGTCAGTACTGTGTGTGTGTAGCCACCACGTGCACGGTGAGCACTGTGTGTGTAGCTACCACGTGCACAGTCAGCACTGTGTGTGTGTAGCCACCATGTGCACAGTGAGACGCTGTGTGTGTAGCCACCACGTGCGCAGTGAGACACTGTGTGTGTAGCTACCATGTGCACAGTGAGACGCTGTGTGTAGCTACCATGCGCACAGTGAGACGCTGGGCTGTGTGTAGCCACCACGTGCACAGTCAGCACTGTGTGTGTAGCCACCACGTGCACAGTGAGACACTGTGTGTAGCCACCACGTGTGTGTGTAGCCACCATGTGCACAGTCAGCACTGTGTGTGTAGCCACCATGTGCACAGTCAGCACTGTGTGTGTAGCCACCACGTGCACAGTCAGCACTGTGTGTGTAGCCACGTGTACGGTGAACACTGTGTGTAGCCACCACGTGCAGCCAGCACTGGGCCGTTCTACAGTGGAGCCACTGTTGGCCCTGATGCGCTGTAGGTGGGGGCCCCCGGAGGAATGGATCCCCATGCTTCCAGCTGCCAACCAGAAATAACAAACAAATTGAACAGAGTCTCACCGGGTGGGGTCTTCAACTCGGGGTAAACAGTCTGCTCCGCCTTGCCCCTCGGAGCAGCGCAGACCCTCGGTAGTACTGGCTACCTCGTCCCGGGCCGGGCACAGACGTGAAAGGACAGGAAGTGGCGCAGGGCTCTGGGTCACCTCAGCATTCTCCAGAGAGCGTGAGCTTCCAGGCTCCAGCGTGAACCTGACAAGGGAGCCTGGCCCTGTGAGGAGCCCGTGCCTGTCCAGGGGCCCCCACGCCTCCTGCAGTTACCCTTGGAGAAGTTCCTGGGAGGAATCCAGGTGCAGCCGCAGGGCGAGCAGACGGGGCCCAGGGGAGGGGCAGCTGGGTGTGGACGGGGTCTGAGCCAGGACGAGGTCGCCTCCACTCACATCACCTAGCGTAACTCAGGTGGACCTGTCCTCGGGCCACACGGGCCGTGTTCACGCCCTCTGGCCATGGCGTGGTCTCTGGACCCCAGGCCTGTGCTGTAGCCTGTGGTCTCTTCAGGGATCCCCCCCACCAGTCCTCAAGACTGCAGGGGGTGCAGCTTGTCGCGAATGTGCCTTTGTGTCCTTACTCCACGGCGGAGGGCAGTGCCCCCATGCTGGACGGTCCCTGCGGCACAGCAGTCCCCCACTGGATGCACCGGCTGAGGATGTGGGCCTACCTGGTGGGATGTGCCCCAGGGCTCAGGCGGAGGGGCTGCTCAGGTCGGGAACGGGTGCCCTCCACCACCGTCGCCCCCAGGAGACTTGGGGCCCCCGGGCACACGCAGGCGTGCCCACCCCCAGGGAGTGCCCGCCCTGCCAACCTGGGCTCAGAGGGGACCGAGGGCCGCCTCGCTGTGCGCTGCTCTGAGCGCCCGGCAGGTGGCAGCAGCCCCTCGGCGGAGGAGCGGGGTCGGTCAGCCATCCCCTGCCCCGCGCCGGCTGACCCACGGAGACGGCGGGCATTGCACTGGAAGCTGTGACATTAACCAGTGGCCGCGAAGGAACGCTAACTCGCTTTCACAGGGTGCTGGGGAAGGAGCCACCGCTAAGCCAGCGGTGAATGCGGGGTTGAGGTCTCCCGCACTGCCCGCCTCTCAGCCCTGCTTGCAAAGGGCTGCGCGGGTGACCGCCACCCGGGTGGGTTCACGCTCGCGCCGGCCACCCCCAAGCGAGGCGTTACCTCTCTCCTGGAGGCCCTGGTCCCTGCGTCACCCTCAGCGGCAGGTGCAACCCCGGCCGCCCCCAGCCCCTTGAAGAGCGCTCCCTGTTCCCTAGGGCCCAGGGCCTCAGCGAGGGCGCGCCGCTCCGCACCCCGCAGCTCCGGCTTCTTGTGCGCGGGGCTCGGCCAGCGCCAAGGCTGCTGCTGCCCCCGGGCGCCCCGTGCCCGCACCTGGAGGGGCAGGGAGCGCCTGACTGCGGGCAAGAGTGACCAGACCCTGCGAGGGGAGGGCGGCGAGGTGCCCGGAGGGTTCTGGAAGCGCACTGCCCCCCCGCCCCGCCACCCAGGTTTCCCGATTGTTAATTTGGCGAACTTTTCCGGAAGGCGGCAGCGTTTTCCTGGTTCTGGGCGACTTCCACCCGGCAGGTGCTGCCCGCTCCGGCACCCACCCCGAGTCGGGCCGCGCGGCCGCCGCTCCCGCCCCGCGCTCCCGCCCCCGGCGGCGTCTTCCCGGGGCGGGCGCCGCGGCGGGCTCAGGACTCGGCGGGGCGCGCCGCGGGCGGACTCGGCTCGGCTCGCTGCGCGCCATGGCCCCGGACCTGCGTGGCCTCCCGCAGCGCGGCCTCTGGCTGCTTTTAGGTGAGTAGGGGCCGGGGTCGCGGTCCGGCCGGCTCCCCCGCGTCGAGGGCGGAGGAGGGGGTCGCACGCCGCGAGCACGCCGGCTCAGGCTCGCGAACGCCGGCCGCCGCCTCGCCACGCGGGGCCCGCGGCGGAGGTCCCCCAAGCCGGGCCGTCCCGGGGTGCGGGGCAAGGAGACGGGCGGGGCAGGCGGCTGGGCAGGGGTCTGCGCCCTCCCGGCGGGGGTGGGGGTGGGGTGGAGGAGGCTGAAGGGCGGCTGCCACTTGGCCCCGCACGCTGGGGAGCGCCCCTGCCCCCCACCCCCACCCTCCGCGCAGGCTCCCTGGGGCTCCGGTGTGAGCACCTTGCAGACTGAGTGAGGGCCACGGCTGTTTGGAAATTAGTAAAAACCGGTCATCTGACTGTCACATGCCGCTGTTTCTGATTTGCTAAGCGGTGTCCCCGCTGAAGCCAGGCCAGCCGCCTGTCCTCTGGAGGCAGAGCCAGGACTTGGTGTTCGCTCCCTGACTCGGGCGGAGACCCCCGTGCGGTGGGGTGGCCGGGCTTGGAGAGGCTGCGGAACCTGCAGCGGATGGGGCGAGGGATCGTCTTCCCTCCGCCGGGTGTCCTGATGCACACATGCAGAGTGGAGGCTGCTCCCAGCTGTTCGAGCTGGTGGATGTGTCCCCTTCCGTGTGTTCCTCTCACGGACTGGACTGCACGGGCTACTCCGTCCAGGGCTCCCTCCCCAGAGCTGTGATGTTGCTGTGGGCGCCTGCTGTGCCGCTGGAGCCTGGCGTGGGAGGAGGGGGCCTGCCCGCCCTGCTCTAGCTGAGCCCCTGGGGGCAGGAGAGGCTGCCCAGGCCAGGAGGAGCCGCTGGCCGTAACCAAAGCCTGCCCAGGCTTCCATGTAGCCATCTCAACGCCGGCCTTGGCACTTGAGCGCTTCTGCCGAAGTCACAGGAGAAGGAGATCTTGCAGTGATCCCGTCCTCCGTCGGCCTAGACGTGGAGTCGGCCGTTTTAGTGCCCTCGGAAGCCAGCGTAGCTCTGTTAGCAAGGCAGAGAATGAGTTGTGTGGTTTTCACTTAAACGCGTAAGTGTCCTTTGCTGGTGTCCGGAGGCGGTGCCCTCTAAGGCTGGTACAAAGAAAGCCCTGTGTTGGGATCACACAGACTTTCCCTGGTGACCAGAGAGCGGTTGCGCTCTCCTGCCAGGCCAGAGCCGTCATTGTCACGTCCTGAGTGGCCTGGCCAGTGTCACGTCTCGGAAGAACACATGGAGCTTTGTGAGGTCACCCGTGAACAGATGCACTTGGAACGCGGCTGCACACGCACGCTGTCACCCTCCGGTGCCGTAGCACGGCCACATGTCCTTGGAGGTGACCTTGGCTGCCCAGGATGGCGACCCGGCACGGGCCGTCTTGGTCCACAGATTTAAGGATTTTACAGCCAAGCTGTTCCTGTCCAGTCTGCTGCCCTTCTGCGTGTCCTCTGTGCCGGGCCCCTCCGTGCTCTGAGAGCCCTGTACATGCGTGTGTTCCCGGAAGGCTGATGGGCTCGTGTGTGGGGAAGACTGTGTGTGACCACCCTGAAGCCATTCCAGGCGGGCTGGGGTCACTCCGTCCGGCCTCGCGGGCGGAGCCTCCCGGACCCTCGGGCAGGGGCTGGGGCTTGTGTGTTTGTGGGTTTTTGGAACGGTTGGGACATTGAAACACACGATTGTGCGACCATGAGGAGAGCTGGAAGTTCCGGGACACCCAGGAGAAGCAGTACGCGACGCCTCCCGTGTCCGGCTGCTCTGTGTCCCGACGCGGTCGCGACCCTGGCGTCCGACCCTGGCACTTTCTCATTTGCCAGTCAGATTTGTTTGCCCCTGTGTGTGCCGCTGCAGGGAGAAACTCCCAGAGGTTTGTCTTCTTCCGTGGCTCACGCCAGCCGGCATGCGTGTTGTGAGCCCGGACCTGGGGGCGCGCCCCAGTCCCCCGTGTGCACGGTCAGTGGCACCGGTGACACCAGGAGCCAGCGCTCTGGGTGGAATCCTGGCTGTGAGCAGACGGTTGGCCGGGCCTGCTGACTCCTTTCCCCGGAGGGAATGCACCGGTTTCGGGCAGATGCCGGCCAGGGCCACACAGGGCTGGTGCTGGGCCCAGCGTGTGCTGGTGATCGGCCCTCCCTGCAGTAGCCGCACTGAACACTTCTCTGCTGGGATCCAGGGAAGTGGTCTCTTCTCCACCGGACCTGAGGTCTGAGCCCCAGGGGGCCGCCGTTCCTGACCCAGCAACGCTGATGGAGCCGCCCCTACAGGGAGCCCATGGGGGGCGCGTCTCCAATCCCGGGAACCCAGGCTTTAGGGCCTGCTGTCCACCCGGTGCAGGCATGCAAGGCTTGGAGCCCCGGCAAGGGCAGGCGCGGGGGCAGTGGGGACCTGCGGAGGGGGAGGGACGCTCTCCAGAAAGCTCAGGGAGGCCCTGCAGAGGAAGGGCTGTGGGAAGGCAGGGGGAGACCAGGCAGAGCCAGGGCAGGGGAGACCAGACAGAGCCAGGCAGGGGGAGACCAGGAGAGCTCGTGCAGGGGAAGACAGGAGAGCCAGGGCAGGGGGAGACCAAGAGGGCTGAGGGCAGGGGGAGACCTGGAGAGCAAGGGCATGCAGAGACCAGGAGAGCCAGTGCAGGGGGAGACCAGGAGAGCGGGGGCACCTGCCCTGTGCCCTGTGCCCCCGCGTGGTGCGGAGAAGCTGAGCAGGGACCGGCGAGGGCAGCCTCCACTCTTAGTCTTTAACCACCAATGGTCGTCCATTAACCATTGACAACTAGCCTGAGCCTACGACCAGTCCCTGAACGCGTGGGCCTTTGGCGTGATGACCCAGACCACAGCAGCCCTCTGCGTGGGAGGGAGCGTGGCAGAGCGTAGAGTGCTGATCCGCGGCTCCTGGCCTCTTCCTGACACGCCACACCCGTGGCTCACACGTGTCATGACCAGCTCAAGACAGCAGCCACGTCAGAGCCAGTCCACGGTGCCCCACTGAGGAAAGCCTGCTCCGGGGAACCATGGACGCTGGCCCAACCATGGTCAGACCTGCTCCAGGTGGGCAGTGGACACAGCGGTCAGACCCACTGCAGAGTAGATACAGCGGTCAGACCTGCTGCAGAGTGGGCACAGTGGTCAGACCTGCTCCAGGTGGGCAGTGAGCACAGTGGTCAGACCTGCTCCAGGCGGGCAGTGGGCACAGCGGTCAGACCTGCTCCGGGCAGGGGGTGGGCACAGCGGTCAGACCTGCTCTGGGTGGGCAGTGGGCACAGTGGTCAGACCTGTTCCGGGTGGGCAGTGGGCACAGCGGTCAGACCTGCTGCGGTTGGGCAGTGGGCACAGTGGTCAGACCTGCTCCAGGCAGGGGGTGGGCACAGCGGTCAGACCTGCTCTGGGTGGTCAGTGGGCATAGCGGGCAGACCTGCTCTGGGTGGGCAGTGGGCACAGTGGTCAGACCTGCTCCAGGTGGGCAGTGGGCACAGCGGGCAGACCTGTTCCAGGCGGGCAGTGGACACAGTGGGTCAGACCTGCTCCGGGTGGTCAGTGGGCACAGCGGGCAGACCTGCTCCAGGTGGGCAGTGGGCACAGCGGGCAGACCTGCTCCGGTGGGCAGTGGCACAACGGTCCAGATGCCGCTGCAGATTCCTGCATTCCGTGTGGGAGTGTCTGAGTTCGAATCCAGCTCTGCTCTGAGTCCAGCTTCCTGCCCGCACACACAGCCCAGGAAGCTGCCACCCAAGTGGGAGGTCCAGATCACGCAGCCGTTTGCGCCAGCTGCGGTCATTGTCTGGCACTTCCGTGACAGTCGCACTGAATTCATTAACTGGCCATGGAGGAACTGTGCAGACCGGGTCTGTCCCTCCACCCCCTCCCGGGCCGCATCCCGGTCCCTCCGCCGTCCTTTCATTTTGCCTGCGGGCTCCTCGGTCAGGGTCAGGAGGCTTGTGTTTTGGCGCTGCTGCAGCACAGGGGATGTTCCTCTAGTTTACTTTCTACCTGGTTGTTGCTAGACTAGAAGCTCCCACTCGCTTTTTTTTTTTTTTAAAGAGTTATTTATTTATTTATTTGAAAGGCAGAGTTACAGAGCAGAGGCCGAGAGAGAGAGAGAGAGAGAGAGAGAGAGAGAGAGAGAGAGAAAGGTCTTCCATCCGTTGGTTCACTCCCCAAGTGGCCACAACGGCTGGAACTGTGCCTATCCGGAGCCGGGAGCCAGGAGCTGTTTCTGGGTCTCCCACGCGGGTGCAGGGGCTCAAGCACTTGGGCATCTTCCACTGCTCTCCCAGGCCACAGCAGGGAGCTGGATCAGAAGTGGAGCAGCCAGGACTAGAACCGGTGCCCGTATGGTTGCCGACACCGCAGGCGGCGGCTTTACCCGCTATGCCACAGCACTGACCCACTTTGTTGTTTCTTGACCTATCTGAGAGGCAGAGGAAGAGAACTCGCATCCACTGGTTCATTCCCCAACTGCCCGTGGCAGCTGGAACGGAACCGGGTGGAAGCTGGGAGCCAGGGACTCAGCCTGGGTCCCCGTCTGCTGCTGCCCCTCAGAGCGCGCGTCGGGAGGGAGCTGGCGGGAAGCCGAGCCAGGACTGGAACCCGGCGCCCCGATTCGGGATGCGAGTGTCTTACCCGCGAGGCCCCGCCCGTACGCCTGGGGCGTGACTGCTGTGTCCCCGAGCTGTGCCTCCCCGAGGGCTCGTTTCTTGCTTTGTAGCTGAGCCTCTGCCCGGGCTTGCCAGCTGGGACCCCGCCACCCTCTCCACACTCTGACACTTGCTGGCTGGTTTTTAAACACGCTCTGACTGTCAGGTTTCCAATTTTATTCTTTTTAAAGATTTGTTTTTCATTTATTCGAAAGAGTCACAGAGAGAGGGGGAGAGGCAGAGAGGTCTTCCTTCCGCTGGTTCACTCCCCGGATGGCCACAACAGCCAGGGCTGGGCCAATCCAAAGCCAGGAGCTTCCCCGGGGCCTCCCACGGGGGTGCAGGGGCCC